GTATACGAGTTCTGTAAGATTTTTTTTTAGCAGTGCTAAAATGTACGTATATCTTTCCAAGCTGAAAAACAAAAAATGTGTTCTTTTGATTCCCCCACGCACCTTTTTACAGTGCAGTTGTTTGACATCAATTACCTGCCGATGCAAAGAGTAGACTCAACTCATCTGTAAATTTACTGAACAATTCAAATAAAAAACATCTTACCAAACTGAAAATAAAAATGTGTGTTTTTTTTAATATTTTCACATTTTATAGTACAGTATAAACTCAGCTCATCTGGACAGACCAAATATGATAGTTGTGCGGAATAAGTTCATTTGAGATCCCTTAACTTGTCAATGAATCCGATTTTCATATTTCAACCAAAAACAAAATATAATGGGTCCCTCAACTGTTAAAACCGGTGCAATGTAGGTCCTAATGACGGTTTGGATGGTAGTATTAGATGATGTGGCGACTACGTGGCTAATTTGACTCAGTCTTCAACTGACGTGGTAATTTGATTTTTGAAAAATAATAAAAACTGTGACCCCACATGTCAGTTAAAATAATAATTTAAAAACAATGGACCCACATGGGACCCACATGTCATTCTCACCCCTCCTCTTCTTCCTCTTATTTTCTTCTCTATTGCTACCCCTCTCTCTCTCTCTCCCAATGCGAAGCTGGCGGGAGAGCGTGGGACGAATACCAGATCAACAGTGCTACGTATGCGTCACATCAACGAAACCGCCCTCTAAAATCACCAAGGGAGTTAAATTTCACCAGTTTTGACAGTTCGGGGGCCAAGATTTCTGGTATTGCGAATAAGGGATACGATTTAGATTCCGTGTGTTCATTAGGGACTCAAAGTAAACTTATTCCGACCAAATATGACAATTGGGCCATGAATTGTAACAGAAGAAGCCCACGGTCCGGCCCAATAAAGAGCGGAAGCGGACACCCTAACCGAGAGGATCTATAAATAAGAAACCCTAGTGTCTCACCCCCCTCCCATTCCGCCTCCACCCCCGCCGCCCGTCCAAACCCTAGCTCCGCCGCCTCCGCCGCCTCCAGGAGAGGAGAGGTAAGTCGAAGATGGTGTCCGGCTCCGGCGTGTGCGCGCCGCGCGTGGTGGTGGACGCGCGCCACCACATGCTCGGCCGCCTGGCCTCCATCATCGCCAAGGAGCTCCTCAACGGGCAGCGCGTGGTGGTCGTCCGCTGCGAGGAGATCTGCATGTCCGGCGGCCTCGTCCGCCAGAAGATGAAGTACCTCCGCTTCCTCCGCAAGAGGATGAACACCAAGCCCTCCCATGGCCCCATCCACTTCCGCTCCCCCGCCAAGATCCTCTGGCGCACCGTCCGCGGGTAAGCTGCGGATCCATGGATTTCTCTCCGTTTCCCCCTTGTCATTTCGATTTCTGATTTCTGTTCTGATTTTGGGACCTCGTGGTGAATCCCCGCAGCATGATCCCGCACAAGACCAAGAGGGGAGAGGCGGCGCTGGCAAGGCTGAAGGCGTACGAGGGCGTGCCGCCGCCGTACGACAGGACCAAGCGCATGGTCATCCCCGACGCGCTCAAGTACGTCGGATTCGCTTGTTGTTTGGATTTTTTTTTGTGTAATTGTGCGCGAGCGAGTAGTCTAATGGTGTTTGTTTGGTGCCGAATTGTAGGGTTCTGAGGCTGCAGCCTGGGCACAAGTACTGCCTCCTCGGCCAGCTCTCCAAGGAGGTTGGCTGGAACTACTATGACACCATCAGGGTAAGTTTCCATTCCTTCCTTTCTAGCTGTGTGGTAATTGTTGTGATTGGATTGTTTACCAGATGTAGATTTATGGATCGGGTCATTCATTTAGTTTTTAGTAAATGCTTGCTCCTTAGGTTAACTGGATACCTTGATGAAATGAAATTATGCTCGATAAAAAATAAGGTACTAGATTGTTCTTTTCAATTGTGATGATCCTTCGTTTGTTAGACTGCCTTATTATAGTTGCTAGTTTTGCCGTGGTTAATTTATATGGTTCATATATTTCTTTTGTGATGAAATGCTCATGATCTGGGTGATGAAGAAAATCAGACGGATTCCCATTGGTTTTCCAATATGATTTTAACAACCAGCTACTTCTGACAGATCATGCCATTTGTGACTGTAAACTTTTATCTTCCTGGTTGTAAAATTTTATCTTAATTTCCTATTGTGATGTTTGCTGATATATTTAGTCCACTAGCTACAAATGATTTTCGTCATAGTGCTATGCGATTGATGATGTAATTATTAAGTTGTGATTGTCTGATATTGGAATGGGCCTGTGATGTAAGCTAAATATTTGCTACTCTTGATGGGGATTCCCAGTTGATGATCTCATACCACCAAGATCTCTGAGGCCCATAACATCATCCATTTTCTTCAGTAAAAACCTTTTAGTGTGAAATTGCATGTTTGGGGTAGCTCTGCATGTTGGGTGATTTATTATTTCGTTTTCAGCTTTGCCACTATTATGTTAGTTCTAACTTTGTCATCTGGCTAAGTTATCTAATTTGTGCTATGCCTGTTGATTTGATGGTCATTTCTCACTGATTTCATTGTTCAATTTTCAGGAGCTTGAGGAGAAGAGGAAGGAGAAGGCCAAGGTTGCCTATGACAGGAGGAAGCAACTGGCGAAGCTGCGTGTCAAGGCTGAGAAGGCAGCCGAGGAGAAGCTGGGTCCTCAGCTGGAGATTCTTGCTCCGATCAAATACTGAGAAGCTTTGCTTTCGTGCATCATCAGTTTTGTGAAACATGTGCCCCCTTATTCCTAGTAGTATGGTGACTCATGATAGTACAATCAAGGTGTTTAAACCGTTGTTATGCATCCCAGTTCTGCTACTCCTATTTGAAATTTTCTAGTCGATGAACTGTTTCTGTTTGTCAAATGTGTGCATTTGGAGATTCTACCGATGGCTGTCATAGTCCCATATTGACAAAGCGGTTTTTCTTAACTTATTTGCCCTTGTTGAGCGTCCGTCTGCAAGTTTATGTTGATTATTTTTCTGGTTAAGACTGGATGTAATGCGTGTGCTTTATCTCAGCAAGTTCCAGTGCGTTCATTGACCCCGGGTAGATTACCATTCAGAAAGACTGTGTTGCTATTGTTGCATTACGGATAGATTAATCCCATCTATTTCCTCTGCTTTTACGGTTTCCTATGGCTACCCTGCTCTTCTGCTGCCAACTCTGCTTGACTGCTTTCCTTGCGCGCACTTCTGCTCGACTGCTTTCCTGGTGCATGCTTTCCTTGAAAAAACCAAGATGAATTTCGCTAACGTACATCTTGGTAAGATATCAGCCTACTATATTTTTGATCCATGAAGCTGATGAACAATTTATGTACGCACATTCCACTTCTCTGTAGCCATTGTATCAAATCTTTGATGGCAGTATTTTTGAGCCATGAAGCTGAGGAACAATTTATGTACGCACATTCCACTTCTCTGTAGCCGTTGTATCAAATCTTTGATGGCAGTATTTTTGATCCATGAAGCCGAGGAACAATTTATGTACGCACATAGCCATTGTATTGATGTCAGTACACGGTAGTCAAGCTCATGATTCATGCTCGTGAAAGACATGGGTGCCCGTTGTGTTGAAGTGTGCATGATTCTGGTTGATGAAGAAACTAGGGATTCCTATCTATTTTCCACTAGGCCAAGTTTAGTTCCAAACTTTTTCTTCAAACTACCGACTTTTCCATCACATAAAAACTTTCCTACACACACAAACTTCTAATTTTTCCGTCACACCGTTCCAATTTCAACCAAACTTTCAATTTTGATGTGAACTAAACACACCCCCCTCCGTTCCAATATAAATGCATTAATACATAATACGTATTATATGCATTTATATTGGGACGGCTGCCTCTGACAGATCACGACATTTCAGACGATGAACGATAAAACTTCTGTTCACAAAAATGCTTTATAATGTGTTTGTTTATGATTATTAATAAGGATTTCATGTACTACCTCTGTTTCATATTATAAGTTTGATCAAGTTTATAAAAAAAATTTAGCAACGTGTACAACACTAAATTAGATTCATTAAAACCGATATTTAATATATTTTGATAATATATTTATTTTTCATTAAAAATATGAAAAATGACTAATAAAAATCAAAACGACTTATAATATGAAATGGAGATAATATCTTTCAGGAACTGTATATGAGAATATGAGATTATATGTCATAACCGTGTGCTCTGATGTGAAATTGTAATTTTGTTTTAGATGGCATTTTATTAAGCACGTGAAATTGCAAAGGGCTTGTGATGTAAGCTGAATAATGTGTACTTGGTGTGGTTGTTAACATGTCATCTGTTAATCTTCAGGAAGCTGGAGGAGAAAGCAACTTGGAGCAAAGGATAAGCTTGGACCATCGTACAAATAGCTTCCGCAGAATTCACTAATAAAATGACTCCGTGGCCCAATGGATAAGGCGCTGGTCTACGGAACCAGAGATTCTGGGTTCGATCCCCAGCGGAGTCGTTTTTAGTTTTTTACCTTCTTTACCTGATCCATTCCTATTTTTAATTTTTTGGGGACGGAGGGAGTACACTGGAGAACGTTTTTGTGTCACTTCTTGCTACTCTCTTACCTGATCAACTGCTGTGATGGATACTATACACACTGCAGAACGGCTTTCAGATTGCGCTCATGCGCACACACCTGATTATCTTCCAGGTAATTTCAACAGTAAAAAGATAATCAGTGGTTGATACTACATCCTTTTCGCATTTGGTGGGAAAAAAAGGCACAAGATTGATATAATTTACTACTAATATATACTCCCTCCGTCCCATAATATAAGGGATTTTAAGTTTTTCTTGTACTGTTTGACCACTCGTCTTATTGATTTTTTTTTTTTGAAATTATCATTTATTTTTTTAACTTACTTTATTATCCAAAGTACTTTAAGCACAATTTTTTATTTTTTATATTTGCACAAATGTTTTAAATAAGACGAGCGGTCAAACAATGAAAAAAAAACTCAAAATCCCTTATATATTATTGGATCGAAGGAGTACTCCGTATATGGTAGTACAGAAATGGGCAAGAAAGGACGAGCACCCACTGGACGCTGTTATGAACATCTTTCAAGTTTCAACAAGTGAACACTCCAAGCTTGCTAAATCATGATCTACCAAAAGCGAAGGCTTCTCATCAACAATCGTCCAGTTATCCATGAGTCGCCGACTTGCGATATTAAGGCGTCCCATAACATAACACAAAGATTGGCCATCCCATAACACCATCAAAGGTTGCTACTGCTGTGGGGGCGTGCTTAGCCTGTAGTACTGCTCGAGTACAGTGGGCTAACATAAAGATCCTCCATTCAGGTCAGCGGCCAAATCTTCCATGGATTGCCAGCATGCCAGAATTCAAGGATTGCAGCAAGGAATTCTGGAGATGGATTGGCCTGCAGAAATTTCTTGTAAATTTCCAACAAGAAATTTCATCGTCCCACCGCATCATGACATTCGATTTCCAACGAAGAGAACCAAGCTTAGCAGTCCACGAGGCGTACAAACCTATCATCTGTAAGCTTGACTACGTTATGCCCGCATGCCTTGTACTGCATGGATGAACAAGAAAAAGAAGCGCCCACATGTTAGGCAACCATACATATGATCAAACCAGGTAAAAGACTCAATCAGAGACTAACATCTCACCCTCTCAGAAAACAAGGTACTACGCTTGTAGGACATGCTAGGCACAGCCAGACTCCCTCAGACTTCTCGTTCCGCCGAGTAGCATTACTTAGTTCCGATCTATCATAGTCACATGGTAACAAGGGTTCAACTGCCAAGCATCCTACTTGCTCAGCAACAAGGTATCGATTTACTGGCTCGTGGCCAGTTTGTCCATTAATTTGCTTGAAACATCATTGGCAGTTGTGACCAACAGAATCCTCCACAGCCTATATATGAGAAATCAATGACTTCATAAATGTGCATTCATATATCATACAGAAAAAACTGAACCCTACTCTAATTGATGAAATAGTGCACCATCAAATTGGACATGTAATGATATAATTTACATAACATCATACAAGCAGAAATCAGTTATGGTCATCTACAAAAAGGAAAATGAACTTACTCTGGTAGCAAATCATCTGATCAAGATCACCAACTTCATCCCTCTGATGTTCCATTGCTTCCTGCAGATAAAATTACATCAATAATATATCCAAGAATAATGCACAATTTCATAATAAATGGCCATAAAATGAATCAGCAGTGATTTGAAGAAAGAACAAGCACATGTTTTAACATATCAACCTCACATGAGGGAACAAGCACATGTTTCTGCTACCCACTAAGCTTCTTGGAGTATCGATAAGTCAATATTGGTTGACGAAAGATACAGATGACTGAAACTCGTTGGTGATCCAGGCTTCCACAGAAATTTCATGTCTTCATAATGCACAAAATAATTATACCGGAAAGCTATCGTACAGTTTTACAGAATTGTAGGTATAGTATAAGTTGACAGGACAATTTAATTAGAGTAGGAACCAGATATATTAAAAATATGCTCTCTAAAATGAACACGGATATCACATGGGGACACTTGTGTTGAACCTATGTTTTCATGATTCTTAAACACAATCACATGCGGAAAAAAAATGGTTACACTACAAATGTACCAATCAAAGTTTGGTAAAAAAAAGTGCAGCAAAATTAGCAGATATGGAAAGTTGGCTCATTGTACCTATATCAGTTTGTAAACATCGGATCAACCTTGAATTGCTATTCCTAGTAAGAAGGCGGTCTGAGTTCCTTTAGTCGTCGAACAACTTGCTTCATTGTGGGCCTGGATGAAAGAGAGTCGACGGTACACTTGATACCGAGGTGAAGAATCTCAACTAAGTCATCATGTGGGGCCACATCCCACAGACCTTCTATGAAGAACTCACGGGCTCGACCCTTCTGCAGAAGCATGCAAGCCCAGGCAACAATGTTGAAGCCATTTCCATATGGAGAAAAAGAAGGGTCCAGTGCTTTCTTGTCTGAAATAAGCTCAAGAAGTACAACTCCATAGCTGTACACATCTGCCTTATCAGAAACACGACATGTCATGGCATACTCTGGAGCAACATATCCAAAAGTACCTGCTACACCAGTTGTTGCGTGTGTTTCTGAATTCCCGAGTAGTCTTGCTAATCCAAAATCAGAAAGGTATGCATTGTATTCATTATCAAGTAAAATGTTGCTTGGTTTCACGTCTCGGTGCAGAATGCGTGGGACACAGCTATCATGAAGGAATCCAAGTGCACGTGCAATATCTAGAGCAATTTTGTGAAGCATTCTCCAGTCAATAGGTCTCTTAGCCCTTTCTTGTATAAATCTTTCCAAATTACCACCAGGAAGAAAATTATATATAAGAAACATCTCTGAATCACTGAGATGGTATCCTATGAGTGTCACAAGATTGGGATGGCGGCACCTCCCAAGAGTTTTTACCTCTGCTTGGAATTGCTGAATACCTTGGAACCTTCCAATCGCAAGCCTCTTTATCGCCACCAGAACTCCAGGTGCAATCTCAGCTTTGTATGTTGCTCCAAAGCCACCACTTCCAATACAATTGCTTGCATTAAAACTCCCCGTAGCACGTACAACAGTCTCATACGTCAATGGAGCACCAATATCCACAAAAACAGTCACTTCCCTTCTCCTGATTGAACGTCTTGACTGTCTTGATGCACATTTCCGTGTGTAAATATATAGGATAATCAGAGCCAAGAGAACTGCAACAATAGCTGATGCTGATGTAATTGAGGCAATCTCTATTTTGCTGAAGCCGCCACCACTATCAACAGTTGCACTATCTGATGGTGGAACATCTCCTTCTGCGAGTGATCGGGCCTTCATTACTGTATTTGCAAGTGTAGACAACCCACAAGGCTGGAGGGATGGATTTCCCTGAATACTGTTGCATGCCAATGAGTGCATATTCAAAGGCAATGGGCCAGACAAGTTATTGAATGAAATGTTAAAAATGGATAGTGATGCTGATGGGGCAATATCAGGAATGTTTCCGGAAAGCTTATTATTGTTCAGCAAAAGTGAAGTAAGATATGTCAGTGTCACAAGATTCCTAGGGATCTTTCCAGATAGGGAGTTAGACGAGAGATCCAAAACCTCCAGTGATCTCAACTTACCCAAACAGGATGGTATGGTGCCACTGAGATTATTCTCAGCTAATGACAGAAATTTCAAGCTCTTAAGCTCTTTGAAACTGGAAGGAATTTGACCCTCAAGCAAATTCCTACTGATGTCCATCTTGACAAGAGCACTCAACAAACCAATGTTACCAGGCATCACTCCTGTTATTCGATTGCCAGCAAGATCCAATGCTCTGATAGCACTGCATTTTGTACTCATTTCTTCTGTGAGCCCACCAGATATCTTGTTGTCCCGGAAACTGACAATCAACCCCTCCACATTATTACACTGTGCCAGCAAAATTTCATGCAAAGATCCTGTGAAGTTATTGTAATCAACATGAAAAGCATACAATATCTTGTTCCCAAATCGGTCTGCACTAAATGGCAATGATGTAAGGTGGCCTCCAAGATTGTTATTTGCAAAATTATGGTATACAACAGAACAATTTCCTGATTTGCAATACCCCGATGATGGCTGTGCTAGAGCTTTGGACATGAAGAATGACGGATAACGAGATGGCATGTCATCCAAAAGCTGGGGTGTGCAACCTTTGTTAGCACATGCTGGAATTGTGCCGGATAGTTCATTTCTGCTGACATCAAAAACAGCAATACAATGCGGACAAAGACCGTTATCAATAGAACCGGACAATTTATTCGAGCTGAGGTTGAGAAACTTGAGGTTACTGCACTGCCCTAGCTCCCTTGGAATCACTCCAGAGAGTAAGTTCTCCGCAAGGTTAACCATTTCCAAACTATGACACCTTCCCCAATTGCTCGGAATGTTCCCTTCAAAACCTGCCCTTGGCGCCCATAGCATCCGAAGCTTTGGCAAAGCTGTCACACTTTCCGGAATTCCTCCTATAAACATATTGAACTCAGATAAATTCACAGCATCAAACTGGCTCGTCAATACGAGTACCGACAAATCCATGCAATTCCCTAGTTCCATTGGAACCGGACCGTTCAATCGGTTACTCGATATGTCCAAAACCTGCAACCTCCTCAACCTTCCAATCTCTGGTGGAATTGAACCTTCCAGCAAATTGGAGAACAGCTGCAGGGAGCGGAGCTCCCGACAATCCCCCAATTCTGAGGGAATTCTTCCGGTAAGAAGGTTCCGGGACAAGTCAAGCAGCTTCAACTTGGGCAAGCTGCCAAGAACACCCGGCACCGAGCCGGTGAGGCGGTTGCCGGAAAGGTTCAACCTCATCAAGCTCTTGCAGTCCGAGAGAGTGCCCTGAATCTCACCATGCAGACGGTTGGAGGCGAGGTCAAGCACCCTCATCCGCGGCGGGAAGGCGAGAGGAAGCGCGCCATGGAGGGAGTTCCCCGCGAGGTTGACCACCTCGAGCTTCTCCAGCCTCCAGATCTCCGCGGGGATCTCGCCGCGAAGGCCGCGCGAGGGTAAGGAGAGCTCCCTCAGCTCGGTGAGGAGCCCCACCGCCGGGGAAAGCTCGCCGGCGAGCTCCGAGCTCCCCGAGGCAGGGGGCGCGGCGACGGCGACGGCGACGACCCGGCGACTCGCATCGCAGGTCACCCCGGGCCAGGAGCAGTGGTCAGCGACGGCGGAGCCCGTCGGCCACCGCCCCAGCAGCCCGGCGGCGCCCCGGAGCTCGAGGAGCGCCGATCTGTCCCGTTCTTGGACACGGTCGGAAGAGGCGCGGACGCGGACGGCGAGCACCAGCAGGAGGAGGAAGAAGGAGGAGGAGGCCGCGCTCCGGCGAGCCGCCACCATCTCCGGCCAGCCGAGTGCGCCGACGACGGAGACGACCTGGCCCTGGCGAAGAACGACGCGGCGGAGGCGGCGCGGCTTCCGGTAGGTGGAGAGGCGACGACGACGAGGTGGAGGAGAAGAAGAGGAGAAGAGAAGAGGAGACGACGACTCACATGGGGAGGAGGAGAAGGACTAGAAAGTAATTAGCGGCTTTCCCGAGGGGGAGACACGTAATCTGGCTGCTTCCTCTTCTCTATCTCTTCTTCTTCTGCTTTGGTTTGGTGTTGGTCTTTGCATTTGTTGCTTGCTTTGGTGGTCATCGTCTTCTTCTTCTGCTCGTTTTTCTAGTGATATTTCTTTTAAAAAAATCTTAGTTTTTTAATGGTGCTTTTTCATTCTGTGGAGGTTGTTGGGATTTGACGGTTTTGCCCTGGGAAAGATGGGTTTTGTTTTGTTGATGGGTGTGGCTGTCGGCTGTCCCTTCCTGCCCAGTATCCATGCTTTTTGAATTTTGACTGGTTCTTGCCTTTCCTGGCTCAAGTATTCTTGAGGAAATAATTACAAAAGTGTACCAAATTAAGCAGAAAGTACCAGGGAGATTAGTAGATTTATTGCAAGAAAACCTGTTATGGAAGTTCAGCAATTGAATATACTAGTGGTAGTAATTGAATTGAAGATGAATTAACCAAACTATGTTGCACATTAATTAATCACAAAGCAGAAATAATAAAGCACATATCACTCCTCGTGCACCTCGCATCCGCATCATCAATTTTCATTTCCGATATTGGCTCCAAATTAAATGATTTTCTGCCAATTATTTTATGCATCCACCTATCATTCATTTCATTTCATTAACTCCCACCCCCACTGACTCGTGGGGCCCAGCCAGGTAAGGAGGAGACCGTCCAGGAGTGCGACTCGGTCGGGGTCGTGTGGCCCTCGTCCTTTCGTGGGACCCACCATAACACAGCGCCGTTGAGCCACAGCGATGGATATGATGGTGCCTGCAGCCACCTCTTTCCTTGCACTTTCCTCACTTTGATTCACCGTATGTTATTTTTCCCTTTTTTTTGATTTATTATTATAACGTCTTCTTATTTAATCTCCTGATTTAGAGAGAAAAAACTCGAGTTTTAATAACTTTTTTTTAGACAAATAGTTTTAAAGAAATGATGAGTGTACTACTGCTAGAAGAAGCGTACGTAGAAACGATGTCACTCAGAGTAGAAGAAGACAACATGACGTACTGAAAATTAATTTTTTTAAAAAAAATGTGTAAACAGAGCGGTGTGGCTGCGTGGCTGCGTGACGAAGGAGCAGCCACGAGATAGCGGCAAACGGAGGAGGGCCCCCCAACCACTTCCAGGCTGGAGCCCACCCACCGCGTGGCACTGAGCGGTGCGCCCCCACCGTCAGCGGAGCGGGGCCCACGTGCCAGTGGCTCACGCGCGCACGGTGGATTGGTGGTGCAGCGCCGCGGTGAGGGTGGGTGGGGCCCACCCACCGTGCCCCCGGTGGGTCGTCGAGAGCGTGCACGAGACGGGTCAAGACGGTGCCAACTCATCGTCGCCGTCCGCCGTCGCCGTGGACCATGTGGCATGCCCAGCGCGGCGGCGGCGGCGGGGACGGGGACGTCGGCGTGAAGCAGTAGCAGCGGTGGCGCCTACGTGCAGCCGTTCGTAGGAGACTGACTCGTGTTCGTTGACTCCATGATGGCACGTATTGGTACGTGCCTTTCTTTTGGTATGCAAACCAGCAAATGCATCCGTAAAAAAAAAAAGCAAATGCAAGCAGATTTTAGTATGAAACTGGATTTCAAGTAGAAAATTAAAACCTGCGGGAGTATTTGTAAAATTTGCAGATATGACTTGGAAGCGGTAGCTAGAGGGAGTGGTGGCGAAAGGATTAGTTCCACGTCTTTTGAAGTTTGCAGTAACAGGAAAAGCTAGTCTTCTTATATTTTTTTTGGTTGTACGTTTATCTTTGTATCTTAGTTATAAGATAGTATTAAGTATATACATTCGTGTAACTTTTAACTGTGCATATTCAATTATCATGAATATAAGGATTGGATTTATATCCATTACTAAAAAGAAGACTTGTATATGCCAAGTTCGATCGATGGTGAGAAGATGAAAAACACAGCAGCATCTTCTTCCCACAAGACGATGAAAATGAGAAAAGGAAAATTCATGGCTACGAATTTACAGGCCGTGGTAGCAATTATTCACAGTTTGGTGGTCATGTTACAATACCTAGTTGCCTACATTTCAAACAGCACGGGAACGACTTGATCAGGTTGCTTAGAGAATTTCTGTCACAATGGCACATGGTATATATTCACCGATGATCAGTCACCACCAAAGATCTGGTAATGTCCCACGGAAAAGGATTTGTAGCCCACGAGTGCTTTTATAGGAAACTATATATGAATTGGCCCATTGAAGTATTAGGCACTTGCTTTATATCCCCTTTTTGTTTTCAAGATTTTTTCACGAATTAAGTTAGAATATTTATTTTCTTTTCAAAGCAAAAGAATATCAAACACTTTAGATATAACACGTGTACATGGCCATAGACGTCATTCGATTTCTAGGTAATATAGGACAACTGCAACGTTGTATATTGACGGCAAACCGAGGCAATTATCTAGGGTTGTCGGGTCTTGTGCCCACCAATGATCTTGAATGATGCGCTTGCAATTGTTTTACGTGGGCTGCCAGCTCACTACAAACGACAATATCTTTGCACTTACATTTATTGTTTTCCCTCTCTTGTAGATGGCTCTCTTGTTTTCTCTATATTTAGGTCATCTTTCTCTTGTCGTTATTATTGGAAAGTTATTTTTGTCTTTAACACAAAATGTAAAGATCATATCTATTATCAGTTTTGATGACAGGGAGGAGCATAGGTAGTTATAGAACTCAAGCGCCAATAGAGACAAGGCAGGAATGATCGAATATCAGGGCTTACGTCACGAACTAAAGAGTAACAAGAGTCATCAGGGCAACAAATGTAGCCCTCAACTTGGCGGAAAAATATGTTATCAACAACAGATGAATAAATGAGGTGTTGGATATCAGGGCTTACGTCACGAACTAAAGAGTAACAAGAGTCATCAAGGCAACAAATGTAGCCCTCGGTTTGGCGGGAAAATATATTATCAACAACAGATGAATAAATGAGGTGTTGGATATAGATCCAGCAACTAAAAAGTTTTTGAGAGAAACTTGTGGAAGTCACAAACTTTTTTTCGATGCAATTATGCAAGAACCTTTTTCACAATTTTCCTGAGTATGTATGTAGCAGCTCCGAAAGGATATTTCAGAGGAATGTCAACCTCCGTAGCAATTTCAGAGTACTGTACAAGAAAGCCTGTTTGTCCAATCTTTACATGAAGGAGTTTGTTCCTTTATTCAAGTGCTATATACGTTCATGTCCATTTAAAAGTGTTAATTGATGATGAAAATGAGTTTATGGTAATTATTTGAGGGTACAAATGAGTTAATTAGATATTATAAAGTTGATAAGTTTTTTTTTTTCAAAAATCTAAGAAATATTGATGAAGTTTTTTTTTTAAAAAAAACCACACCTTTTATGGTGGCCATAATCAGAACAAGACACCTTATGGTGGCCACAATCAGAACAAGCTCAACAGTGTCCTTTCAAATGATCGTGGCATATGCAGAAAAGTCTCCCAGGATCAGGATGTATATGGAATTATGGATGTGATGTGTGCAAAGAAAATTTGCTGTTTCAGCTGACTAAGCGCTCACTTCTTGCACTAAACAATTCCAAATGGAACTTTCAGAAACAATTCCAAATGGAATTTTCAGAATTGTTGGTGACGCACCGCTGGACAGAAAACAGGAGCAGAATTACGGAGCCGGCAATGGCCCATTCTGCCATTTCATGCACAAAATCGCTCTCCTTAGATTTTGTCAACCAAAACACAATCCATCCCTGTCGTATCAAGAAATGAATGCAATATTCGGGCTTGTTTGCAAAGCATGAATTCATCCCTGTCGTATCAAGAAATGAATGCAATATTCGGGCTTGTTTGCAACGCATGAATTCGTACAAGGAATTTTGCATAAAAAATGGCTCCAGAGATGTCCTACCCACCATCACAGCAACCATGCACAGGAACTGCTACCATGAAATTTCACAATAGCACTATATCAACCATGGCACTCCATTCAGCATCATCAGAGAGAGATTCAGAGCAACCATGCTTCACAGGACAACTGATCATAACAAGACATAACCCTCCCACCTAGCATGAACTAAAAATTTACAGCAGAGATAGCGAAAAAGGAGGAAATGGCAGCACAGCAACATGCAACCCGTTAGGGTCTCAGCACTCCCAAATTCTTCACCAGAATGGAATACAATCATTGTCATCAAAGGGTTCGTTTTCTGCTTGCCACCACCACCACTACCACTAGAAAGAAAAGTGCAAGAAACAAGACCCCTGAACAGTAAGGGGGGAGGAGAGGGGGTGTCTTGTCTCCTCATCGCACGCCCTAAACTCTAACTAAAGTTCAGAACCATGATTGAGCAAGCGAGGATCAGTATCCACATCGCCGTTCCGACCTCCGGGAGGAGGCTGGCGCCACTGTTGTCGTTGAAGCTTGAAGGACCTAGCCCCATTCCAGGAGGGCCGTCCACGCCAGTGCTGCCCCCGGTGCCGCTTGTCGGTGTGCCCGTCCCAGCAGCGCTGCAAAATGGATGCGAAAACAGTTAGCAGTGTGACAAGAGTCCATTGAGCTGACTTTCTTTGAAACTTCACTGTCAGAAGAGGTGATCACTAGCATATCAATGCGATTAGATATCGGTACTTCAACTAGACTCTTAAAAAATAGCAGTTTTATATATGATATATCATGGAATCACTTCCTTCAGGCTTTACCATGTTGTACTTTCCAGTGATCATATTCAAAATGTGGTGCTTGCTGAGTGGATGCTCACTCTTAATTTATTGCCAGCATTGATAGAAGTCTGAAAAGAATGGAGTACATTCTTGCACATGCAGACGTATTTACAAAGTCTAGTAGTACCATGGTGGGGTTAGGAGCACAAGAGAAAAGGCGACCATATCATATCAGCCCAGAGACTTCAGACTAACCAAAAGATTGGAATCCATTCTAAAGAATCCACACATGTAATGACCCAGCAAATCTCTAGGCTCCTCTAAACACTAATTCTAGTTTGAAAAGGAGGTGTTATCTATAGAGTAATGCTGAGAATCTGCATACAAACAAAAGTGACAAGAAAGGGGCTCCATCATCTAAGCTCGGAGATGGAACCTCAAGGGTATAGGATTCCCCTAAAAAGACTCTGAAGACACAGTTGTTCATCGATGCAGCCAAATGTGGGAAAAGGAACGGAACCCCACGCGCAAAATGACCTTTATTCCGAGATTTCCAACCAAAGAACAACACCACCACCGCCCGGCCACTGAATGCTCCCACATGGCAGAAGGCACCAAAATGTGTTATCACTAGTAGGAGGAGTACTTGCAATGAGCCAGAGTTGCCTTACGTTGTATTCAAGAACGAGGGCCAAAAGAGCAGATCGATTATTAGGTTGGTGGCTAGAGACTCACCGAAAGATGTTGCATTTACTACTCAATCTTGCATTTACTACTCAATCTTTATGTTGATTCAGTCAGTTCAGAGAACCAATCTTTATCTTGATTCAGTCAGTTCGGAGAACGGCTGGAAATCTTTGTTGGTTTCTCCTATGGTTTATTAGTGAATGAAAGGCAATGCATCCAAGTGACATGTAATGATTCAACTATGTAAGGGGACTTAACACTTGAGTAGAACTGAAACAGCGACTAGGCCATGCACCAAGAAAAGAAAAGAAAAATGGAACTTTGCAAAAACATCAATGCAGCGAAAGGATGGATTACCTAGCAGAGGCAGGGTACATGCAGCCGTTGGAGCCTGCATCCAAAAAACAAAACACACAAGAAACAAGAACTATTAGGTAAAAAAAAACAAATCTGAACCAAGAAATAATATATCATCAAACTCGTTTTTCTGAACTTTTTTCTGCATGTAGAGCGAGAGAGGGAGGGAAAGAAAGGAGCTTTTTACTTGGGTCGGTGGTGACGAGGGTGGCGGTGCCAGAGAAGACGCAGGCCTGGGAGTTCTGGTTGTTGCGCTGGTAGAAGCTGTTGACGGCGTAGGAACAGTGGGCCTTGACGGTGTCCGGGCTGAAGCAGGCGCCGCTCTGCTGGATGGGCTTGCAGTCGGCGCCGTCGCCGCACGCGTAGTCCAGCGTCTTCTGCAGCGTGCTGTCCGGCATGTCCTGCCTGCAAATGCACCACGCCCCCTCTTCACCCCAAGACTCGTCAGCCCAAGAATCGCCAAGAAAAATCAAAGGCTACGCGAAGATTAGAAGGCAAAGAACGCCTAGTACATACCTGACCGGCCGGCGAGGGTGGCGGCCATGAGAGCCATCAGGAGGAGACGAGGCGCGGTCGCCGCCATGGATGATGATGCGAGCAAGGAGGCTGCGCCTGTGGCTTCTCTCTCTCTCTCTCGCTTCACCTGCTGTGTTGTGTTCTTCCCCCTCTCCTCTTGCTGGAAGAGTGGGGGTTTAAATGCAGTAGGCTGGCTGGCAGTGAGCCAGTGACTCGGTTTCTCTCTCCTCTCTCTCTCTCTCTCTCTCTCGCGTGGCTGTTTTGCACGATGGATGGAGGCGGCGAGGAGGATTTTTCACAGCAGATTTCACGAGAGAAACGCAAGCAAAAGCAGCAGGCAGAGCGAGCTGGGCCGTTTTGTGAAGTGGCGTGTCCCGTAGTAGAGGCGCCGTGCAATGCATGCCTGGCTGGACGGTCCAGGATGGCAGTGGCTAGCGGTGTGCGTGGCTTTTCACAAACGGTCAAAAAACCCGCGTGACCAACGCCACCACCAGTACTAGTACGCACGCCATGGCCGTGTGATGTTTTGCTGCAATGCTCGCTTGCTGCTACTGCGCCAGCGCCACCCTCCCCTACCAAACGACAGACACACGCAGAGCCGTAGAACAGCACAGGGGGAGGGGAGGGGAGGTGCCAGGGGTTCTGCGCCTCTGCTGGTTGCTTCTTCTTGGGCGTGGCGTTGTGGGGGGTTGGGGTTGGGGGCCCAATGAGCCGAGCCAACCGCTGGACTATGCCTATGATGATCGGATGAGAGAGGTTTGCTCTCATCTCAATGATCATCAAAAGGCACGCGACATTGCGAACTGCTAATCTTAATTTACAGAAGATCATTACAGATCTACAATGGATCAAACTGTACATGACTAGTAGTACTTTTGAAGTTGTAGTATACTTCTATCTGAATTCTGATAAGAGGAAAAATGGTTGGGTGGTGAGTGGATGGAGGACTGTGTCCAGGGACGCAAGGGGTTGCTGTTTTCGGCCCGTTGAGGCGCTGTCGCAGTCAGAACTCCCTTTTTTTGTCTAGGCTCACTTGAACTCTAGCTCCGTCGCAGCACAAACCGCGGAGGGAGAACGTAACGTGTACTGTATATGGGTGTAAACTGTAAAAGTTGGCACAACCGCACAAGCTCTCGTCGCGTAGGAGTAAATGATCCTAGGCAGCAACAGCAACACCAGTACACCACGCCGTCATGAGCACAGGCACCACTATGCAGCTATGGCCCGTGCCCATGCCGAATCCAATCCAACGTACTAGGAGTAGCCGAGTACTCCAGGCTCAAGAGTAATGGAAGTGGCAGGAGGGACGGTGACACAAGCTAGGAGGGGCTCTTGACCGGACGAACGGTCATGGCCTCGCGTCTCAAATCTCTGTACTTAGATTTGCTCTGCTCGGGGGTCCAGGGGAGAGCGACAGATTGCAAAGGTCCAATCTTAACTAGCAGATGAGTTGTGCTATTAAGAGACGCATTGTGCTTATTTGTGCTAAACAAAGACACGATGTAGTAGTAGTAATAGATTACTACTCTAAAATGAACCAAATTCTAGCTCTCAATCTGCACATAAACTATAGCTAAATTTAAAGCCAGAATTTTACGGAAGGATTACAAACACTAGTAGATTGGAGTACTTGCTATTCTGAACAAGAAACACTGAACAGGAATCCCACATTTCAACTAACATGGTGATATGGCCGACGTCAGTCAAACTTCAAAAGTTCCTACTGCTACTGTTTCACAATACTTGTCATCATCAGTTAAACTTTGACAATCTATTTCTTTCATATTCTTCCATTCGGAGAAAATAAAAATTGTTTAACTATATGTCACACATACACTACAACGAAATATTCATAAATTTGGTGGAGTGACCAAAGTTTGACCTGTTATAGTGTTAGTGTCTGCTAAAATGTTGTGACAAGTACAGTAAGAAACAGGATTCACACCATGACAAATTTTGGTGTATACACACGTCAACCCAAAATACGGAACACCAAACTTTCAACAGCATATCGAGGTGATTAGTATGGAATTTTTACGAGGCTACAGAAACGTAAATTCATTCATCAGGGTGATAGTTTCGTAGTTGTTAAAAACACCCTTCCTCATCCATTGTCTAAGTTGGGCTGCTAACCACCTGTCATAAAAGATACCTACTACAGATTAAGCATATCGATATCAATTTACATATTTCATTTGATTATAACGGTTGTTTACATACAATTTTCCCATCTAAGATTAAGTTCCAGAAATGAAAGCTACGACTGCAAATTCACATGAAAGTGGTCATACGGCGTGGTATCTGCAGATCAATCCCAGTCAGCATCAAAGAACCCAGCGTCTTTCATCTCTGAGTAGTAGACGTTCTCTAGGAGCATATCTTCCTCCTACACTCAGACATGAACCAGCAATTTTTGATGAAGAAAAGCTATATAAGAACAAGAGGGTACGTAGAATATCCCAATGTACAAGATCAAGAAAGCAGCGTAGTAATAAGTTGATAGAACAGAAGATACCCTAGTACCTGGAAAAAGTCTGCTAGGAAAGTCACATAGAGAAGTGGAAGGTAAAGAGAATGATAACATACACTGGTGAGATTGTACAACCTGTAACAAGAAATATTTGCTCAAATAATGCTCTCAAATGTTGAATTAGCATCACACTGAAATACTACAAAAGGGCTAGTGTTTACCATAAACCAAATCCAGCTCCAGTTGCAACAAGGAAACATCCAAACAGTGATATGCCATTCAGTAGTAACATCGCACAGACATAGTTATAATATGCTGGTTTTGCTGCAACAAAATAATAAAAAATGCTGATTATGGAACAGCAAACACACAACCTAAACAAACATAACTGTGCTGTAAATTGTAACCAATTACCAGGTAACCTGTCTCTCCACCTTGAGTGATACATGAACACAATCAGGCCATAGACACCAGTAAGCACCAATTTGTGTAGAAACCATAGGCCCCACTTCCCACCAGTTCCTTGGTCAACATCAATGAACAAAGAGACACCAAACCCAAAAACATATATAGTCTGTAGAAGGAGCAAATGTGAGTTCAAAGCTAACATAGTATTCCCTAGGCTCTACCTACAGTATGATAACTAAAACACATAGCAACAATGGAAGGCTTAAAAGGTTCAGTCACAGGGCCTTGTTTTCTTTTGAGCAGTCAAATACTTCTTCTACAGTATGATGAGACGAGTGCAGGCAAATATCAATAGAAAATGTGCACGAGTTGCAAACTTGCAATACTCCCTCTATCCCAAAATATAACAATGTTTAGCCTTTAGAATTTGTCACAAAATATAACAAATACTCCAACAACATTCTCTTCGCAACCAATCACAACCCTCCACCATTCAATTTCCCCACTCTACCTCCACTTCTCATCCAATCACAACCTTCCCCCATTTAATTCTACCTACATGTCCAACTCTAAAAATCCTTATATTCTGGGATGGAGGTAGTACAAAATTATGGAACAACGGAAATAGCATACAGTCACCATTCCAATAAACGGATATGATGAGCCTGATACATTAACAAATTCACATTTCTAGCATATTGTTGTTCAGAAAGCAACATAACATAGCATTGCAATTTTGTTTGGGTTATTAATAAAGTTGGGTGAGTTGCACAAGCTAAGTAAAGAAACACAATGCCATCACTAAAACAACAAAGACATGTAAGCGGTTACTTCTACTCTGCCTGAACAATGGAGCAATGGCATACCTTGAGCAATACATCAGCAGCAACTACAGCTCCAGAGATAACAAACGTACGTGCCAAAGATTCAAAACCACTGGTTTCGTTTCCTTGAAGCAGAAATGCTATGAGACTAACTTCCAAGAATAACATCCCTGATTTGGTAAACAGAGACAGCACATTCCATGAGAACGCCCTATCAGGCATACATTGCCACGCCTGCCAACAAAGAAATAAAAAGGCTGTTATACAAGAATAAGAGAAATAACAATATGTAGTGTAGCATATGATAGAATTAAAATAGGTCAAAACTTGCTTGGTTCCATCACCAGTTCACAAATCACAACCCAACCTCCACCCGCTTAATTGCCAAGTTTTATCAAGAAAAAAACTAAATGCAAGTTCACCAAAACAGCTTGTCCAATGAAACACACCTATCCACCTAACTTCCACCCTCACTTATTCTACTTCACAACAAAACATTAACTAAACATACAAAAGTTGCACTGTTCATCAACCCACGCGTGCTACTCCCCAATCAAATACTAATATGTCCGCACATTGCTGTTCATCAGAACCAGGAACACAATTCACAGGGTAGACCCAGCGGAAAAAAAATCACATCACAAGGTTAATAATAAGCATTTCAGAACCTGCAACCTTCTCACTGATTATTCTGCCCCAATAGGTTATTCCACTAGTGTCACATCAAAATCATTTACCCTACCTTACAGGAACAACCCTACCCATCGCTCATCGTTACTAGAACAACACGCATCATGTCACAGCCATCAAATCGATACTTCTAATCAAGCAACCAAGCAGAGGCAGTTCCACGACCCACCAAATCCAATTAGAAGACGAGGAACGAGGAAGGCGAGCAAAGCGAACCTGCAGGAAGCACCAGAGGAGGTTGAGGACGGCGACGGCCCAGAGGAGCGCGTAGTAGGCGACGACGACGACGTGGGAGCGGCCGTAGCTGAGGCGGCGGAAGCTCCGGCGCGCCTGCCACGCCAGGAACCCGACGAACGCCAACGACGGGAGCATCACCGCCAGGCTGTACACCGTCCCGTGGCACCCCGACACCCACCACATCGGGCCCCCCGACGACGGCGTCGCGCCCGAGGGGGAGGAGGAGAAGGAGGAGTTCGACTCCGGCGCCCCCACCGCCAGCTCCATGACCCCCTCCGCCAGCCACCTCCGCATCGGCGCACCCCGCGCGAGCGAGAGCTAGGGTTTCGCGGGGGTTGGGGGATCGCGCGGAGGAGGTTGCCGAAGCGGCCTCGCGTTCGTTGGGTCGGTGGGGTTGGGTCAAAAGGGCGGAGGAGTGGAGGACGATGCGATGCGATCGAACGGAAGAGGGGAAGACGATGTGCGGTGTGGTCTATGGGCTGTGGGCTGCCGGGTGGGCCCGGGGATGACGTGTACGGGCCGACACGAGCTGGTGGCTCTCTCATCCGTTTTGTTTTCTCGTTAGGATTTTTTTCTTTTTGCAGATGCAGCACCAACTACTAGTGGCTCATGGTTAATGCCTTAATGGCTTCATGCTTGTGGGAAGTGACAAGGAAATCCATTTGAAAATGACCGAATTGTATACTTCCTTCGTCCCAAAATGTTACAAACTGGAACGGAGGTTGTGAAGTATAGACACATGGTTGTACTAATCATGATGCTTGTCAACAAAATTGATTACTTTTGGATTACTAATGACATGACCGTGCCTTACAACATCTTCCAAGTTGACTTGATTATACATGAATTGTTGTTATACGTAGTAAGCTTGATGGTTTGAGTTTTTGTGAGGGTTTTGAAGTTTTAGTTCACCGGAGAGAATCATGGATATGTGGAAAAGATAAAATGGTGTATCCAACGTTATGGACTAAAATGTACAGTACTTGCAAATAGGGATGAAAACGGAGCGAATACGGACGGATAATACTCCTACCATATTCGTTTTCATATTTTTTACCAGATATGAAAATGAATATGGATAGCTCGAATACGAAAACAAATACAGATTATCTCGAATACGAATAAGAATCGAATATGATCGGACACGAATATGAAAACAAATTTTTCTCGGAACACGAAAACCAACTCAACTTATAATAGAAACAAATATCAACATATATAATTAGCTCATTTTATATAAAATGAAGTATAATTTATAAATATTTTTTAAAAGTTAAATAATATTAATATTATGGACTAGTGTTAAGAGATAAACTACTATTAAAATATATAAAGGTATATTGAAGGTTATAGAGTTAGAGAGAAATGGGGTATGTCTCATGGCTTCTGCGGATATTCGAATTATTGTCCGTATCCGACAGAAACCACGACACCATATACATATTCGTATCCGGGATAAAATATCCATATTCATATCAGTATCCGAATTATCCGATCCGAAAGGTATCCGTATCCGTTTTTATCCGGAACGGACGGAAACTATCCGCTCCGTTTTCATCCCTACTTGCAAACATAGGTTTTCTTTATGGAAATCACACGCTAAAACAAAGATGTATATGCACGCGTGACGCCACCTTTTCTCTCCCCCACGCACCAATCGCTTTCAAATGAAAGTTTAAGCAACTTTCAACCACTTGTAGCTTTGTGAACCGGGACAAGTTTTAACTACAAGCGAACACAGTTTCAACTCAAAGCGAACAGCGAAGCTTCAATTTAACAAATTCTATAGCAACCAGCTTGTTTCAGATAGTCGGTGACAAGAATTCACTGTCACCTCATCAGAATTTAGAAAGCGGTAAGTATTTCTGGCAGTGAAGTATCTTGATGGTAGAACTTTCACGGGCACATGCACCATCCATTAGATTGGCTGTCTGCTACCTCTATCAGTAATTCTGTATATACAAAACACTTTTAGTATCTCCCAGCATTAAGCTCTAACGTCAGGATCTAACGATGTCGATGTTTCGACATAGAACCAAGTAATGTGAGTTTTCTTTCCACCAAAATATGATACGGTAATTGTAAGCAATAGATCACATATGAACTCAACAGCAGCAGCAGCTGGCCCTGCCAAACAGCAGAGGAAAGAGCAATTACTTGAGATTTGCAGTGGAGGCCAGAGAACTGTTTAGGTGGCAGAGGCGCTTACTGTTTCTCACTCGTCATCACTGTCAAAAACAACCGTCTTTCTACGATTAAGAGGCTGTTTCCTTGGTGGAGATTCGTCGTCAGAGTTGAACCCTTTGCGCTCCTTTACATGCTCTTGTTCCTGTAATAGAAATAGGTTGAATGGTGACAACAAACAATCAAAGGCACAAAAGAAGTGAACGCACAGGACCAGAAGTTCCAAGCAAAATGTGAAATATTTGCAGGAGAGTGCCTTATTCGAAAGGTCCATACAGCAGATATTTGGTAGACATAATGAACAACGGTTGATCAACATCAGCCAACAGCCTTTAAAATGAACTATGATGACTAGTAGAATGTTACTACTAGCATCATAAGGCAGTTTGTTAGTCATTGTGTGACACAATCAATCAATTGAAAGTGCAGGTGCCATTGTGGAGTTACAAATGATGAATGCAAATAGCTGGTTCAATCAAAGTTTTTATCGTCTAGTAAGGCGGGTCATGTAGATATAATTGCTGATATTATTAAGGATATCAAACTTGGCAGCCAATGATAGTCCATAACTAGCAATTCCTTGAGTTATGCAAGAAAAATTCTTGTGCAATCCATCTGCACTTTCTTTCCAGGTTATCATGAAGTTCTTTTACAGCCAACCAAGAGTTTGAAGTCAACATTATCTCACCTCATTATTTTCATCTGACATGGAAGTATCACCTATGACTTCTTCTGGGTCTTCTTCCTCTTCATCCATGTCATCTTCCCTTCCATTTGTTGGTGAATTATCTATATCCTCGACATCTGTTTCATACTCTGATTCCTCACTTTCACTCTTGGAATACTCATTCACCTGATGCTTGGGTACACTGGGAGAAGGAACAGCTTTCCCTACATTTGCCTGAAATCATGAACAAAAAAATATGGATAAATAGCAACAGGTTCATCAAAATAAGATGACTCTGTCACTGACCTTCTTTGCATTAGTTACGTGTCTCTTAGAAAGTGCTTCAGCCTCCAAGCTATCCTCAAAATGTGCATGGCCTGGGCCTCGGCGCTGATTATAACCAACACCAGGTGCCTCATCCTACAACCATCACAGAATTATGAATGCTTTTCCACCAAAATTTGCAGTTCCACACAACTTTATAGTGAATTGGAAGGCTGAGACTAGTTTTATGAAGGGTAATGTGGTGGTGTCTTTAAATTAGTTAAGAAAAACCCTAATACCATGTTTCAACCCATCTACAGACGCACACCCAACACTGACTACCTAGCTGTTTGCTGATTCCCATGCAGTTAGTTGACGAAATGGCCGTGGCTGTGGGAGGGCACAAAGGCAACCTCTGCAATTGGAAGCAATAGTTTTGTTGCAGCCGTTGATCGAATATGCTCATGGCCATGTAGTGAATATGAAATTTATATCTCAAACAGAAATTTGGCATGTCTATCTCGTTAAATGCAAGAGAGTTACTCAAACCTGGATGGCCAAATAAGTATACTTCAATATTGGTCACAGTGGAGAAAGAAAGAAGTATATCGGTCTACGTAGACAACATCATCTCTCACACGAGGGCCTGAGGTCAAGACCATTGACAGAAAAGCACGAGGGATTAGACATAATGGGCATAAATTTTAGGTTTTAGGCCATAACTGGTGGGTATCGGATCCTACGTTACTAATTTTCCCCAAGTAATAACTAAATAACCAATTGTATTAACTTTACAGATTTGTGCAAAATTATGGTGGAACAGGGTGGGAGCACCCTAATTGCAGCGTTACCTCTTAAATGAGCAAACTCAATACTAAGGCAAGAAACCAAACCTCCTCTAATGCATCTTCCAGAAAACCTGGGGTAAGCTTCCGCCTTTTCCTAAGAGGCTGACTGTATTTGCGCTTCACCTGTTCTCTTTTTCGTTGAAGACTTGAACTAGCTCGAATATTTTCTCCTTCAGCCTGTGTAAATCATATATCAGTATAAAGGACAAGTCATTCCATCAAAAAAAAAATTCAAGTCAAAAGATACAATTTAAACATAATGATAAAAGCAATATCACGATGGTTTGCATGTGTTTTCCTGTTCGGCTGCTTGTAACGCTGCTGTGCTGCAACAGCCGGAAGAAACAACACATTGAGCTTGTTGGCTGCACCACAGTGAAAATAATGGCAGCCGAACAGAGCCAATGAATGAAACAGTGATAAAATCCCAACATGGTATATAATATTTAGGCCACAAAAATGGGCCATGAATTATAGTTGTGTAGCCTAAAGAAACCTACCTGTACAGAACTTTTCTTTTGAATATCAGGTTGGAGCAACATTTTCAGAGCAAATCAAATAATTAGAATAACTGGTGATTATTGCTACAAATCATGTACCTGATGTTTATGGAATTCCTAAAGATTACAGCCAACTATTGAAAACAACTAATGGACAACAGATATCAGCTTAGTACCAGTTAAGAAGGTAAACTTACAGGAACATAAATCAGATACATGATATTGAGGTACTGTATATATATAAGAGAACTTTTTATTACCTTTTCTCTTTCTTCCTTCACTTTCTCGGGATCATTTTCATCAATCCATGTTTGCATCTTGATTGTTTTCTTGTTTTGAGAATCAACAAGAGCAGTTAATAAGCGATGGGATCGTGAGGACAGTGAAGAAGGCATAAACCTCATCTTCTGTAGAAGCCTTCCTTGTGATTGCATAAGCCCCTGAGAAAAAGTCAGTTGTGAGTTTATGAACATGGTGATGATCAATGGATAAAAGAGGCAGGGGAAGAGATTGTATAATTGCCTTTCCATTCCTCAGAAACAGGTTGGAATTATCATGATTTGAGTCATTTACAGATATATCAAGAACTTCATTGCCAATCAGCAGTTGTATGCTTCCATCTTTCCACTTTACAAAACGTGCATTGCTTTCACGCTGCAAGAAACAACGCTTAAAGATTTAATAGTAATTTGGAAGAATAGCAGTCATGAAGTACAGCTTAAACAGAGCACCAATGACATGCAAGACCCTTGATATCTAATCCTCATGTACAAACTTGAATGATATAACACAAACATGCTAAGCAAAGTCACAAAACTGTTTTCTCTATCAGATATATATTCCATAGTAAAAACGAAGAAAATGTCATAGTGAAAAGGTGCAGAAAACAGTGAGTGCAATACACTGACAATGTGACAAGGTTCCTAAGGAAGAAGAAACTACAAAACATGGCACAACAAATATGGCATGAAATTTTGACTCACAGATTCGGTGCCATCAGCGTTCTTAACGATTTTCCAGCGGACAATATTATCCTCCAAGCGTATCTTTTTCCTGCTCCCAGATTCATCTGTCAAAGCATCCTCCTCCACATATGTTTCAGGATCAAAAGGTTTTGGATTAACCCCCATAATATTTGAAACCTTGATCACATTCATCTAAAAAAGAAACCCAATCAGAAAGAAAATTCTATTTGTACAAGCCTACAAGGTGCTGAAAAAAAAATCACGAGCTTATAAAACAGGTATTATTGCAAACTATGAAAACCTTTGGACAGAGAACTATGAGATGATATCGGTTAGACATTATTGTTTCAACAGCGAGAAGCACACTGTCAAAATTTTGATCTTTGATCAAATAGTTCCTCCATTTTCAAATAATTGACACTCTTGACAAAAACAACCATACCAAGGAAATTGTACTTTTAATCTGTAGTTACAAGAATAGCTCTTCAGTAGTATCTGGCGCATGAATAACAAGGTGGAAAAGAAAGGGCCATGCATAGAAGTATTTGGGGAAATTCGTCTTGGGAAGCATGAAGTGCCAAGTATTTGAAATCAAGAAGACTGATTAAAAGTGCCAATTATTCAAAAATGAAGGGACTATCTTCATAAATATGCATAGATTGGCCACAAATATGGTAGATTAATGTAGTTAGAAATGTTAAGTTGGTAGCAAAATGCACAGTAATAATAAAAGATATAGTTCACTGCTACATGCGTCCTATATTACAGAACTCACTCTGTCAGGTTGACCAGGTGGCAGCATACGTGGAACCACCAAATTCAGCGGAGGACCAAGTGGCTTATCTTTCAGTTCATGTTCAATATTTTCATCCGGTTCATAATGCTTATCTTCATCAACCATGTCCTCTGGAAGTAATTCCTCATAGGGGCCTTCATCATTCATAAGTGATTCCTGTGAATGCACAGGATTGATTGGCTATGTTAAGTGATCCCCAAGGGCTAAAAACACATATGGAAACAGTGGAATAAATTTTCCAGGTGATAAAAGATAAGTAAGAACATAGATATACCGCCTAGCCATCAAAAAGAATAATCATGTAGAAAAAGAAGTACCAGACCAGCTCAAACAACTTGTACTTACCAGAAAGGAAATCAAATGAGTTTGTAATTTTCCTTCCTTCTTCTAGTGTACAATGTACAAAGTAGAAACAAAAAAGAAACGCTTCTTTTATTAAAAAAATGATGATTTAGGATGGCTTCTATCGAACTTTTAGAACTTATATGCTACAATATCTCATTGAATTTTATTTTGGACTACAGGATTGAATCAATTGATACCTCTGGGCTTTTCATGAAAAATGCTTTCATGATCTTGTAATTTACTGACTTTATGCTACAATACAAACTAGTGGACAAATTTGTGTTTTTTCAATACTGTGCGGATGTTCAAAAGGTGATTAGTTTGTCACTGGATGGTGTAACACCTTTATGTCATCTTTAAATTGTATGCCATGGCACATAAAACCAGTGATTCGGAAATCATGTATTGCCGACACCCCAATATCATCTAAATACACATAAAAGTACACAAAAACTGACATGGATAGAACAAAAAGTTATGCACAGAATTTATAAGTTGAGTTAAGAAATGAGTTCATTTGTTGTCTCACATGGGCATGTTTATTGTCATCTCGAGAACCATATGGAGCAAGCCCATCCTCATCGTTATCATCAAAAGCATCATGGAGAACTTCATGGTCTTCTTCGTTCTCTGTTGACCTGCCATAGGATTACATGTAAAGTTTTGCTGCCTTGCTAGCAGTGAAGGTTGGAAAGGGAGAATAGTTAAGACACTGGATAAAATAGGTGAATTTTGTTGTCAGCAGAAGATGATTATCACCAGGGTAGACAACTCGAAAATGACAGATGTTAAGCTTGCATATTATAATCTATAATAGAGAAAGCATAATAGTTGACATCAGACCCTCAGATTAAGAGGCAGCAAAGAGCAAACCTTGTTTCGCTGGTTATTGTTCTCTTGACATGACCTCCCTCTGCAGTATTCACGCCTTTCATGTGAACTTGTGTACTCTGATTGCCAAGTTCCACATCATGAGAGTCACCCTCAATTTCCTGGGCCATGCCACTTGACCCTTGGCTTTCACCTTGCCCTTCCTCCTATACAAATAATCAGCGGTTTGTATTACAATACTACATTGGGAGGTAAATACCAAGTTAACAAAATAAATGCAGCACATGACAATTAGGAATAAGGAATCAGTCAGTAACAAAACATGGCAAGCAATCAGAATGAGTCGCAGTGCAGCACCATTATCAACAAATGCACAGCAATTCAACTCAGGGAGTATGTTTGCAAAGTCCTCCATCAGGCAAACTGGGACACACTGCCGGAACGGCAGAAACCGAGCTTAGAATCCCCTGCAAATGGCATATGCTCCAAATTCCAACGCTCCAACTCTGCTTAGAGTTTCATAATATAAGCTTCCAGGATAATTAAGCATCCATTTTATGATTCAAAAATCAATCGAAAAAGAAAAACGACACATATATCGAACCATTTACAACTCCTCCATGATTTTTCTGTGGGGAATGAGGCAACCACTAGAGCCTCCAGAACCCATTGGTGGTCTCGTACTAAAAAAATAAAATAAAATATCACTACTTGTAAGATGCATCAACTATTTCAGTAGTGTAAATTTGTACCCAGTAGCGCGACAATTGTACCGCCGCAAACCCAGGGAACAAAACCCCGAACCACAAGCACATTTCCAGAAATTTATAGAACGCCTCGGAGGGAGCTAAAACCCTAAACCCCAAGTCGAAGCAGTAAACAAGCCGAGATCACACGGGACGGGAGGGAGGTCATGTTACCCATTGGTCGCCGCCGTGGCCGTTGTCCTCCAACCCGTACTCCTCGACCACCTCCGCCGCAGGGGACGCGAGGCGGCGGTCCTGCAGCTGGCCCCCATCCCCGCCGCCGCCGCCGCTACCGCGATCACCGCCACTCGTCGCATCGTCGCCGTCGTGCGCCAGGTACTCCTCCGGGTCCTCCTCCTCCTCCTCCTCCACCACCACCTCCTCGCCGGACTCGTCGCCGAAGATCTTCTGCATAATCTGGTTCCGCTCCTCCTCCACGTCCCCCTTCCCCGTGCCCCACCCGTCCGCCATGACCCCCTCCTCTCCCTCGCGTTGCGTGTGTTCGTGGGGAGGCGGAAGCCGCCGCGCTCGCCGGGGTTTTGCACGCTGGCACCGGCGGCGACGGCGACGGCGACGGCGAGGTGGGTACTGGCATTTAAGTGCGAACCCGCAGGAGGGTTACGTGGCAGACGGCAGCGTCCCGTAGCGGTAGGAGGTGGGGCCCACATTGCGGTTCAGGCAATCAGGCGAGCCTCAATGACCAGCCTGAATGGCCAACGGCTGTGATCATCAGGTTTGCCACGATCTGACGGCTCCAGTTTTATTCCTCCCCTCTTTTTTTTTTTTTTTGCCAAGGCGGATTTTAAAGGAGGCGACTAGGCGTCGGGCGCCCCATGGAGGAGTGGAAAAATCGGACGCTGACGTCAGAATTAAATTCGATTACACCATTAAATTCGTTGCAATTAAATTTTTAAAACAAGACCACACATGGATATGTTCCGACAAAAAAATTTAGCTTATTATTGAATTATTTTTAAATGTTGCACGATGTTCCACCAAATATATCGGAATTGTTTCACTAAGTAGATCGAAAATATTTCAATCGTTTAAATTGGGCGTTGTTTTACCTTATATAAAAGCAATATTTCAGCAAATAACGAAAGAATGTTTCAGTTCACTGCAACATTTGATCCATACATAGTGAAACATTATAAGTACACTAGGTGAAACATTTTTAGTGGAACAAAAAATGAAACGAATTCCCTTAATAGAGAGTTTCCAAAATATGTGTGATTTGTTGTAAAAGAATGTTTCAATTCACTGCAACATTATATCTACATCGTGAAACATTGTGAGTACACTAAGTGAAACATTTTTTGTGAAAAAAATGAAACGAATTTCCTTAATATAGGATTTCCAAAATATGTGGGTGATTTGTTTCAATTCACTACAACATTAGATCTATACATAGTGAAACACTGTGAGTACACTAGGTGAAATATTTTTAGTGGAGACACGTGGCAGGTGAGGGAAGGACACATGGTGGGGCCCGAGGGAGCACATGCGCGTGGGGGGAGCGCTCGATTTTTCCCTCTCCCCCGGGCGACCGAGCGCTAGGATAATCGGATTTTAAAATCTCGAGAAGTTGAGGATGGTTGTTCATTTCGGTCTGAAACTTGAGTTCGAATTCTTCAGCTGATGACAAAAAGGCTTGGTCACCGATGGAGCCAGTTCTTAAAGAGCAAATTTAATAATATAACCAATTACTAGTTTTAAATACCTATAAATATCTAATAATATAAGTAGCATATTCATACAATAATTACCTATAAATATATATATCACACTATTAATACCTAGTCCTACCTCTCATACACACATAGCGTTTTGAAGTCCGTGCTGTAGCCCGATATAAATTTGTAGCACACTTTTCTTCTTTGTCCTCTTTATCTCCTCCACATGTGTTAATAGTTGGCTTATAATATGTTATTGTACTTGTTCTAAGCTGATTTGTTTGAATTCTTTGGCTGATGGCAAGGTTTGGGCCAGCGGTGGATATGGCTCTTAAGCCGATTTTTCGAGTATGTCCCTATGTTTTTGAGTTTTATATGGTCTGTTTAGGAGAGCTTAAGATTCTGAGAGGCAACTGGTTAATAACCAACTTTTGAAAATCTAGGAAAGTTGGGTTTCCTGTTGGGTTTCCCGATTTCTGGCTGATAGTTCATTTTCTGAATTCTATAACTACAGCTTCTTAGAATTTGGACCAAAAACTAGATTGTTTGGGGAAGCTTCTAGTTCATTTTCTAGAGAAGCTTCTAGTTCGCTTCTAGTTCATTTTCTAGGGAAGCTTCTGATTCCCGGTTTCTGGCTTTTAGTTCGCTTCTAGTTCATTTTCTGGATTCTTCCGACTTTTAGTTCGCTTCTAATTCATTTTCTGAATTCTACAACTATAGCTTCTTAGAATCTGCACAAAAAAACTAAATTGTTTGGGGAAGCTTCTGATTCTGAGAGAAGATGCAACAGTTAAAAACTCCCCCAAGTAGGCCCATAGTATTATCCTTAACGATGGATTTTCTCTTATTTGCTTTATATTTCATAGAAACATAAGGAGCCTTTTTAAATAGGAATTTAGCCATCAAATAACCCAATTCTCTTATTTGCTCTCCCCCAAACAGGCCCATAGTACTATCCTTAACGATGGATTTTCTCTTATTTGCTTTATATTTCATAGAAACATAATGAGCCTTTTTAAATAGGAACTTAGCCATCAAATAACCCAAACATAAGGAGCCTTTTTAAATAGAAACTTAGCCCTCAAATAACCTAATCTAAAATTCGCTCCTGACGGAGCGTGGGGCTCCTTACCGGGAGACCGCGTGGGCCCCCCTTTGCCGGTTCGGCCGGGGGCGCTAAGTGAGGTTCTAAGCCCTTGATCTGTGGAATGGTTCGCGAGAGATTAAATGCGCAAGACACGGGCGATGTAGACAGGTTCGGGCCGCTGAGAAGCGTAATACCCTACTCCTGTGTTCTGGTGGATCTGTGTATGAAGGAGTTACAAAGAGCTGGAGAGCAAGAGCGTTCGAACTCTAGAGACCCTCTCCCTCCTCTTTTTTTCCCTTTTTTTTTCTCTTGGTAGGCATGGTCCTCCTTTTATATCTCAAGGGGATATCACATACACCATTTCTACCTACCCTTCTTTTGGGTGGGGACCCATCCTACTTTGACCAAAACTTGGCTTGTACCTTCATCTGATACCGGGATAACCCTGTCCTCCCTCATTAATGGGCGAAGATTTGCAATGGCTGCTGTCCGAATGACCCTCCGATGGGATGGGTCATACCAACCTCCACTCCGCCGGAAGCAGGTGCAACGTGGAAGCACGGTTGTTTGCTGATGACGCGACCGGCGTCAGACCAGTCACAGACCGGTCATTCTTGTCCACCACGTGTCAGTTTAGCATGCTACACGTCTGCCCTTCTTCATACAATGACTTCCTTGCAATGGTTGCGATGAAGCCTGGAATGTATCTGGCCGGGGCTGACGTGCCAACTCCAGGAGTTCCCACGCCGGCTCCGGCTAGGGACGAGTGCCTGGAGGCTCTCATCATTCCGACGGGACGGGGCGAGGCGTGTGTCAGGCCGCCTGTTGCCCCTTAACCCGCGATCTGACCGGTCTGTGACCAGTCACACACTGCGACCGATCACGGACCGGATAAGCATGTGCTACGCTGCATTAAATGCGGCGTGAGACGCTCGTCCAACCCGCAATAAACGCGGTTAGGTGAGCGCCGCTGTGCTCATCTAACCCACACACGTGGCGCCAAACCCTCAGGGGGTCGGGGCGCCCCAGCCCTCGGGGACGAAACGGGAGCGGCCCGACCCCTCGGGGAGATAGAGGGAGGGGCGGCCTCATCACCCTCGGGCCCGACCCCCCCCGAGGGGGTCAGGCCACGTGGGTGACCGCGGCTGCCCCAAACCTCTAGTCAAGATATCCCCGGTCCCATGTCACCGACAGTAGCCCCCGGCGTTATGCCAGGGCGATCGCCCTCCTCGAGGAAAACGCTCGGGCGTGACGCCACTCCTCAGGCCTGGTGACAGGTGGGGCCGGTCTCTACAGGCGGACAGGAATCCAGTGGTCGCAAATCGCGCGTATCGGCAAAGGAAAAACCGACCGACAATAATGAGCGGCTTTCTTCAAGACCGCTACATTACTTGAGTAGCGCGCGAATTGGGACGAGCCGGTTCGTTTCGCCTGGAGATATGATGATGGTGCATCGGTCGGCGAGCGTAGTTAACGCGTGCACGATATATCCCATCTCGACTGCCACGGCCGCACATCCGCCTCGTGCGCCATAAACGGGCGAGCGGGATTAATGGAGGAGTGGGCGCGAGAAACGAGGGGGCGAGATAGTGGGCGCGGGAAGCGAGGAGCCGGGCATAGCGTTTGGCAAGGGTATAAAGACGCCGAGGAAGAGATTCGTTTCCTTCCTCTCGCCATTGTTCCCCTTGCCTTCGCCGCTTGCGCTCTAACTTCTCGTTTCCTGTGCCCTACCCTCGCCGCACTCACTCGCTCTCAAACCCCTCCTCCGCCGGCGTTATGGCACGGGGCTCCGCACCGCTCGACGGTAGCGTGCTGCCGCCTTCTCGTATCGTGAGCGAGAGGCAGGCCGGGCTGCTGCGCCGATTCATGCCGGAATCTGCCACCGGCCGGGAGGTGGTTGCGCTGGGTGAGGGACGCCCGGCGCCACACTACCCGGGGCGGTCCGTATTCTTCCTTCCCTTCGCAATGGCAGGGCTGGTTCCGCCATTCTCTTCTTTCTTCATGGATGTTCTGGAGTTTTATGATCTCCAGATGGCGCACCTCACCCCCAACGCAGTAATGACATTGGCCATCTTCGCGCACCTGTGCGAGATGTTCATCGGGGTGCGCCCATCTCTCCGGTTGTTCCGGTGGTTCTTCACCGTACAGCCGGTGTCGCCACCGTCGGTAGTTGGTGGCTGCTACTTCCAGCCGCGGGGGCCGGTGCTGAACCGCTACATTCCCTGCGTCCTTCGCAAGAAGTGGGATGACTGGAAGAGCGACTGGTTCTACACCCCTCTCGCCGACTGAAGCGCGCCTCCGACTTCCGAGCCAGCCCCCGGCGCAGGCCTCCAGCTGGCGGGCGCCGGTAGATCTGGGAGACGGTTACGACGCCGTTCTTGACCGCCTTGCTGGTTTGCGATCCCAGGGGCTCACGGGGGCCATGGTGTTCGGCGACTACCTTCGTCGCCGGATCGCGCCGCTCCAGCGACACGCCCGGGGCGCCTGGGAGTACACCGGGCCCGAGGACATCATGAGGACCCACCAGGGGCGCAAATGGGACTGGGACCCTGAGGACTTCAAGATAGTGGTCCAATGGGTGCTGAATCTCAGCTCCGTGGAGGCATCCCTCATCCCTCAAGGGGTCCTTCCCCTCTGCTGCGATCCAGAGCGCGCCAACATCCTGACCATCATGCAGGAGGTCGGGGCGTCGGGGGAGCGGGCCCCCCGAGGCCACGATGGCGCGGGCGGGAGCCGTAGGGGGGAACAATCTACCCCGGGAGGGGGTCGTGCTTCTGGGCCCCGTGACGGGGGCCCGGGGGGCAGCCGCCCTACCGACGCCCGGGGGAAGAGGAAACAGGAGGATACCCCCTCCCCATCTCCTCCCCGAGGGGGCGGGGCGGTGCGTGT